CGTTATCACAAGGGAAAGAAGCATCACATTTGTTTTGCTGAGACTATAAACCAGAGAAGACTGAGTCCACAGCCGGTTTACAGACAGATTTTTGAAGATTGCACAAGGTTTTTAATTCTCAAGCTTTTTTTGAGCACCAGCTGTTCATAAGTTCAGACGTGACATGACTGAATCAAAACATGTTGCACCACACTAGTTCTAACGTAGACAGAAGTCATTAATCAATATTTACACCCAATTACTGCCACGTGTAGCTGATGTGCAGCTACAGTATCTGCACCAGCTGACAAAGCTAAAATTAGTCTGCTCTGATATCGACCCATTTAGAGTGAAGACAGAATGAAGAATGGTAAACCTATCTGACCTGAGACTTGATCAGGATCATTTCATTTCTCAAAAATAACACAACATACCTCAAATTATGAGACATTATGTCGATAACATTTGGCTAAAAACTAAATAACGCAAGCTAGGTTAGCATAATCTGCCATTTTTCTCTCATTATAAACTGCACAATTACTACTAATTCTCAAAAACACAGATTTATGTATAAAGAAAAACAAAAGTTAGAGTTATATCAACATGTATAAGAGACACACTGCTGAGCCTCCAAAACTGTGATTTTTCCTTGCAACCTATTTACACATTATTGAAGTTGCCAGCTAGTAGTTAATAAAAACTTTGGAAGAACTTCACATTCAAAGTGTTTTATGAAGAGCAGGTGCAACCGTATCCAGGGGATATTGTCACATGTGGTCAAATGTAGAAAGGTAAAACCTTATTGTCATGTACATTGTTTGTGCTATGTATCAAATATTAGGGGGTGGACACCTACCTACAGGATATTCATCAGTATAGATGAGAAAGGAACTGATGAGTCAGTGGTATATCAATATCAATATCATATATAGTACGTAATGCAAAAGGGGGAAAAAAGTGACTATAACTGACAATAAAAAATTAAATATAAAAAAGCACAGGATATACAATTTTGTTCACCATTTATTGTCTATAGTTACATGCATACTTGCTTACAGTTGGTTTTAGTGTGCAATACACAGTTTTATTTTGTTTCATTGTCTAGGTTATATTACTCCAAATGTATTTTACTTTACAGGCTTCCTTACCAAAAGTCTATACAACATGATTCATTTCTCACATTTTCAACACATAATGAAGTATTCTTACAAGCCAGTAGCCATAGATACACAAGGTATGGTTGGTTTGATTTCTCTGCCTTTGGTGCCTCGGGTTTCCATTTTTGAAATATTAAATAAGGTTTTTCTGCGTTCTGCCGCCAAAATTTGGTGATTGTGGACAAGTATTTCCAGCTTTGTAAGATTAACAGGTCCAGTGTTTTATCAGCACATTCAGCAAGACAAAAATTGTTTTACAGTCACAGCTTTACATTCATGGACACTGTAAGGCCATGAAGCGCTTGGATCCAGATATGCTTGCTGAATTTTAGGACTGGGTATATCTATGGCTCTTGCACAACAACAAAACCATAAGATAAACTATCAGACCCGGGTTGTGTTTTTTCCAGATTTTGTGCCTTAAACTCCCAATTTCTTAGAGCGACATTCAACCCAGGTCTATGTCAAATCCACATTCTAGCTGTTAATGTGCTTTTTTTGCTTCAATAGTAACAGTCCATAAACGCAGGTGTTCCTTAAAACCTACACCAACCAAGAACTCAACGACATATCGTACAGTCTTTAATCCAGTTGTAGTTTTGTATTCTTCAACAGAGTGCAGCTTACTGAGCGAGCTGGTTTCTCAGATATCATGTGGTATTTATATACAACAATATAATAACTACTTTTGAGCCCTATCCTTTTCAAAATCTTGGCATTTTCTGAAATAAACCAATAAGGCAAGAACCTCTAACCTGTGCAACAAATGACATCAAGATATATAGATTAAAACTGGGCCAAACATGGTTGAAATTGATTTTATAGATACATCTAGGTTACATATAACAGCTTTTCCCTCTACCTTTCAATGTGAAGCAGGTTGTAACTGCACACTGAAGTGTAGTTTGTTTCTTCTTTTTTGTGATTAGGCTCCGATATTCACTTTACAAATGGAAGAAAACATGGCTAATGACTGGTAATTTACAGTACGTAAGGTAATTTAGCTAATAGGTAGCAAGATATTTTAATGTTTAGAACAGTGTGACTGAGCCTTTTGGTGGGATATCAGAAACTGTTCGAAGTGCATGTTTTGCTCAAGTAAACACAAATGGACAAATAAAAACAATGGTCTGCAAAGTCTAAAGACGAAACGGTATCAGTGAATATCTACAACCGAGGCTCGACATTTGCTGCGGTGCTACCAGAAGATGGATGAGTAACACTACACATCCCAGAATGCTTTGCTATGAAGTCGCGGCATCACATAGAAAACTGAAACAAATGGGAAAATGTATAAAAGTAGCATTAAATGCTGTTTGAATCCTGTTTTCGTGGGATATTTGCTTTGGCTCAAGAGTAGATTAATAAATCTGGTTAAAAAAAAAAAGTTGGAATCATCCTTTAACTGCTTCTTTGACACAAATTAAACTGTTACCTCCGTCCTGGCCTTGACATTAGAAAACCCTAAGATAAACCAAAGTGAACAACTCACTGCAGCACATTTTAAAAAGAAAAACCACATTATAAAAACACTACAGTCCAATCAGCTCATACTGAGGTTAAGCCAAACCTATACTGAAAAGAGATAGATAATATACTGTATATTATGTTGCAAGTCTCTTACACGTATGTATGTATTTATAGTCCAAGGGCTGCATTCACAAAGCCTCCACAGACGGCGGTGCTGATCCAGGGTCGCTGAGAGTGTGTAAGGTCATATGAAGGAGTGGACGTGACCTTTGACCCTGGGCCAGGATGACAAGCTTTGTGAGCGCGGCTCCGGTTGTGGCTACGTGTGGAAGCGTTTATATAAGACCAATACCACAGCACACAGTCACTGGCTGAAATGTTAGGCTTCAAGTTATGAATGACTAAAAAAGACCAAAAATTAAAAAAAGAAATAAAAACGTACTAAAATAATGGCATAAGCTCGCTCGCTCGCTTTATTGTTCAATGCTGTGATATGGAGGCTGAATGATGAGTTATGACTAAACTCTGACAAGGCTGGTGCTGGTGGCGCTTCTTTTCCCAAACCAGCGTACTCCTGGTGGGTGGCGTCTTTCATCACAGTTTTATCACACTACCTCAGTGGGAGAACTACTGTATATCACAATGTTAAAGGTATGAGTTCAAGGACCACACTGACTTTATGGGAGTTTGGCCTTCTAATAATTTTACCCACAACATTACAAGAACCAGCATCACATTTCTCTCTATAGATAAGTCTGCCTGATGTGTGCCCCCCCCCCCCAAAAAAAATGTTTTTATGCTTTATAAGAAAGTAAAATATTATGTTACTTGTAATTATTTTTCTTAATGTGTAACCACTGTTCTGTTTTGATCTCACTGAAACATCCAGTTAAAATAAAAGATTAAATTAAATCTAAATACATAATAAATATACAAGACATTAAAGGCACAAACTATATTTTTTTAATACAGTTGTTGCCCCACTACCAAAATTAAAAACACAAGATTGGAACTTTCTATGACTCCTTGGTCTTTCATTAAAAGCGACTAACAGGAGACAATAATCACACATAAATTCTTAATTTTAAAGGTTTGTTTACATCATTTATACCTGTAAACGGCACAGAAACAGGCCTGTATTCTGAATTATAATCACTTGAGAAACTCAGATTTTTCATATGCAAGTAAACATAATGTCAAAGCTTCTCCTTCTTCATATTGCACATAAGTGAACATATGTTTGGAGACGTTCCTGTGTGTTTCTTTTTTATATATACCATTGATCTCAATTAATTATCTAGTTGGACCCACCTCCGAACAGGAAGTTGGATCAACCAATCAGCTTGCTCTACACGCAGGTTCCCACAATGTATTGTTGAGATTTGGGAGGTGTGCACATCAGATCCTGTGCGGGATAGAAACATTTACATGCATCTTTGCAGAAGCATATTTTCAGCTGAAGTCACTTTTATGTCACCCTTATTTTATGCATCTGTAAACAACATTTTAAACATCTAAATCTAGCTTGTTTAGCCAACATGCTATATATTCAGCTGTTAGCATGCACACCAGCCAGAGTTCATTACACAGAGATCATTTTTGATGCTGTTTCTATTGTTCCAAGACGACCAAACTCCCGAAAATCTGGTGTAGCCTCTTAAGGAGAGTGCACATGTTTTGTAAACAGGCACAGCCCGGCGAAGCGGAGTAATCCTCTGATAAGCTTTTTTTTCCCATTTTCCCTGATTATCCAAACACTTGTTTCATAAATTCTTTCTCAACATTTGGCAGATAAGTTAAGATTGCACTATAATTAGTTTTTCTTGTGCTATACCATGTGTTTTGTAAACACACTGCCCAAGTACTCACTGGGGGCCCACCTACCTACAGTTTAAGAGCCTGGATTATTGCTAATAATTATCACTCAAATATGTAGCGAGGGAGGAGTTGGCGCGTTTGTTTTTCACAGCTGAGTGTTAGTGGTTAAAAATGAGTGGACGGGGGCGGGAGGGTGTTAAAATGGTGCGAATGTAAGTGTTTATGTGCATGTGTGTGTGTGTGTGTGTGTGTGTTTAGTGTGCCATACACCCTGGGTGGTTGTTCAGTTCAAGAATAGGCGTCGTCAGGGGCAACCAAGCAAGCTGAAATTACCGACCTGTTGCTTTTGAAGTGCTTAATGGTGAGAGAGGCTGCAACAGGCGATCTGGAGTATGTACGTCAATGTATATGAATCCACTGAACTTTTTTTTTTTTTCTTTGTTTAAACGTTAATGATTAATGAACCAAACTCCTTCATTTCCACCTCAGTGTCACAATGTTTCTCCCCCTTCAGTTCCCCGTCATCACCACCCACCGAACCCCCGTCTCTTATCTCACTCTTTTCTTTTATAACTTTTAGTCAGACCACTCATTCTCATCGAGCTCGGAGTCGTCGTCGGACTCGCTGTACTCCACGGCGATGCGGCGCGATAGGATGGTGGCCACGTCGTTGCCCACAGGCTCCCTCTTGGCCTCCTGCTCCCTCTGCTCCTGCACCTTCCTCAGCTGGATACCTGCAGGGGGGAGGAAGGAAGGATGTAGGAGGGGAAGGGACCAGATATTTAGGGCCCCTTACCAAAGCTTAACAACAGAGATCAGGTGTTATATTTGGTCAATGTACAGTTTGGATACTGTATCTGCTTGTAAAATGTTTTAACACATGACATTTGGCAGTTAAAATAGAAACATAAAAATGCATAAAAGTTCCCATATTTGACACTTCTCCAGTGTTTTATTTGAAGTGTTGATCCATAAGAAGATATATTTCTGGTTTTAAGAACCAAAAACCATCTGAGTGTAGTTTTACATCTCCTCTCTCAGGCTTCTCTCTGGTGCTCAAGTAACAGCAGGTCTGTGAGCCAATCAGAAGAGCTCTGAGTGTCTCCTCTGATTGGCTGACTGTTTTCTGAGTGATTTAATAAAAATGTTCCAGATTTCAGGTAAAACACTGTGAGAGGTGACTGGCTCTTTGTGACATCACAAAGTCACAGAAGTCTTGATGGTTCGTATGCATTTCTCTGTGGACTGAGCACTTTGATACTTTCGAAGTATTAATATAGAACCTGTTTTATTATCAAACAACACATGGAAATCTCATTTTATACAATATGGGACCTTTAATAAGTAGCAAAAACAGCATGTATAACTTATAAACTTCAATCTTGACCTTAAAACATACAAACCTTTACACACACACTTACCTCTACGTATGGCGGCCAACAGGTCGGAGCGGGCATCGCTCATCGGGATCATCCCCAGCATGGTGGACTTCCTCGTCTGGGGCGCCGCATCCGCAGCCGACTGGCCCACAGCAGCATGTGGTGGGGATGGGTGGGCCGGGTGGCCAGCAGGGGCTCCAGGCGGAGGAGGTGGAGGGGCGGCGGGTGGCGCGCCCGAAGGCGGGTGGGAGGGAGATGGCACGTAGTTGGCCGGGGGAGGAGGAGGGGAGGGGGAGTAGGGACGGGCGAGGGCAGAGGAGGCGGGGGGCACGGCGGAGGCGGCGGCGGCAGCGGCGGAGGGCGGGACTGTGGTTGAGTCGAACGCCGTCTGGGCAGAGGGGATGGTCGGAGGAGGTGGGGGAGGGGCAGGTGGGATATAGTACTCTGGGATGGTGGAGGGCTGGCCACTGGTGGGAGAAGGACAGAAAAGAAAATGCGGTAAAGTTGGTGGTAAAAGTAAGACTTCATAGGTCTCACATCCCATCATTTGTATGGGTGTCAGGTCCAGGTGAAGTCATGGAGAGACATTTAGAAAAGGTGAGAGGACTCCGTTTTAACATTCAAAGCAGCAGTCGGTTGACATTAAGTCGGCCTTTATAGTTTAAACGTCATGTTTCACTTTAGTTTAGCAAAAAGGCGAAAGCAATGAGACGGTGATTATGCGGTCTGGACTTGTGCTGAACTCAAACCAGTAACGACGTCCATACCACTTAAAGCAGCAAATCAATAGACACAGGAATAAGGAAACTCTGCTAAAGCACGTTTTAGCCAGAATCAACACAAAATATCATATAAATAGTAGGAAATCAAAGTTTAACACCATCAAATAAATAAACAGACGGATGAATACATTCAAACATCTAAAATGGCAAACTTACGCGTGACCTGCCCGGTAATCCTTAACAGACGGCTGCCTCGGCCCGTTAACCGTTGGATCTCCGCCAGGCTGGATCCCGTGTCCAGAGGGGGTCCTGCCCAAGGAGGCCACGTGTCTCCCTGTCCCCGCGGCCGCTCCGGCCCCTGGGGGCTGGTTGGCTGGCCTGAGGCCCCGATCCAGTGACTGAGTCTGGGCTGCGGCGCTGAGGTGATCCCTGGCGTGGTGGTCAGTGGGGTGGGCGGCGCTGGGGGCCTGGGTTGAGGGGTGGTTGGGACTTGCTGGGTAGGAGTCAGACGCCATTGATCTGTTGGAGGGAATGTGAGTGGGGTGGTCGTTGAAAGGCATGTGCTGTAGATTTAAAGGCTACAAACAGTACAATATACTGTAGGTTTCTGTCCTTCATTACTATGGCAACAGTAAGATAATTATTGTACTTATTCGTTTCATTTTTTAATCTTAACCTTTCTTATAAAAGGTTTGGATATACAACAGTGAAATCCATATGAAATATTAATTCATATGCTCTAACTTTCCATCTCCAGAAGAGGGCGGCAGAGAGCTTTAAACGCCACAGCCAGCAGCTCGGTGCTGCTTAAATCTCCATCTCAGTTTAAAGGTGTGTGCTTCAAAGTGTGTAATTGTGAGATACTGAGTGGTTGTGTAACAGTACTTGCACATTGTATACCGTTCATAGCTTTTTAAAACTGAGGGGAAAACTGAAAGTCACTTGTTTTTTTCCCACTTGTGTTGTGTTTATATATTCCCACTCAAGCACTCATGTCAGGTGTTGGCCCTGGGAGGCCACTCAGCGTAGGCAGTGATGTGCACATGAGTGTTGTAGGGGTAGATCGTCATGAGGCCACAGGACCTTAGAGGATAACCTCACATAAATAGGAACAGCTTGTGTGTGTGTGTGTGTGTGTGTGTGTGTGTGTGTGTGTGTGTGTGTGTGTGTGTGTGTGTGCACCTGCTATCAGGGGACAGGGAGCCTTCAGAGGACATGCCGTGGTAAGGGGATGGCGTGAGCCTTGCGTCTGGTCTGAACTCTTTGTCGTAGGCGAGGACGTTCCACTCCTGACGGCGGTTACGAGCCTTACGCACCTTCAAAAAGACAGAATATATTTTTTCATATGACATGTTTTTCATATTTTCATGCTGCAGTTACAGGTAACAATATGCAAATTTGGTGTTTTCTTCTACAATTCATGTCTCTTACCTAATGAGCGACATAAGTGACAGTGTTGTTAAAGTTTAGACAGAAATAATTACATGTGGTAATGACTTTATATAGCTGCTGTATCTCATTAGCATTCACTTGGAGAATTAGCACAGCTGCACCTCTCTAACACGCCATTATAGTCAGTGTTAATAGACGATGGAGAGTGTCTTCACTTAGGTAAATGGCTTCAATAAACTTTTACTGTAGATGGTTTTGGAGTGATGAAAAGTTCTCCAAACTGGCAATGACCTTGACTGCTCTTCGATCTTACTCTATAAAAGCCGAGTTCACTCAGTTCACTGCTGGCTCACTGTGCCAGACTTCTTTCTTCTCAGGGACAATATACACACACTGCAATTAGCTGATGTCTAGAGCCAGTGTGTATGGCTGTTGTGAATAAAACTGAGGTTTATTTGAAGAAGAAGAAAAAAAAACAGTGGCACACATCCAAATGAACTTGGCAAAATTAGATTTTTAAACTTAGGATGGATAACTGAGACCATTAACATTGTGCAGATCTTAAAGGTTGTCTGTCAGTAGAAATGAAAAAGCAGATAAAAAAAGTGCAGAAAGTCTATAAAACAAAGCTTCTTAATTTTGGGGTCAGCACACCAGGTAGGGTAGTTATATATATCGACAGCACTATGGAAGCTATCGATAGGCTAATAATGATGCTGATGCTAATGCTAATGCTATAGGGACATATATGTCATACATTACATTTCTGCATGGGATTATCATAGTTTTTAATTGTTAATTCCATTGTTAGTTTTAGAAGGAGGTCCACCAAAGGTGATTAACTTAAAAATAAAAATAAAGCTGAAATCATTACGGACCTTCTTCACCTCTCTGCCCGGGTCCTCCACCTGCCTCTGCTGCTCCTAAACAGAGACAGAAAGAGACGGATAGAGAGAGGAGCGGAGAGAAACTCAGCCATCGATTATTGATTTCTCTCATGCAGAAGGGAGGGGAAAAAAAAAATATGCAAGACCCCATCACCAGCTCCTTCACACAGAGCCTAACACACACACACACACAGACACACACACACACACACGTCTATACACCACCCAGTCTCCATAAGAGATATAACACCGACACACACTAGACGACAATGGACAACAGAGCCAGAGCTTCTGAAAACACGGGACGTCAACCAAACCAAACACAGAGGGTTGGAGAGAGGGTGAGGTGGCAAGCTAACGCAACGTGACACACATGGACACAAACAGAGGGGAGTGTGTGTGTGTGTGTGTCTGTGATTCATTGTTCAAATACATCCACTGACTGTGTCGTGTTTATGTGCTTCCATCCATGTCTCTATGTGTGACTGTGTGTCTTACCCGTGTTCGTACGTCCGCTAGAATAGGTGAGCGTGTGCTGTGTGTTAGTGGGGTGTGCAGGGGTAAAGTGAGGGAGGGGGGGGGGCAGGTTAGGGGTCGGGGTTGTCTTACAGAGATGGACAGGGGGCTCCTGGGTGGGGCCTGTCTGGAGTGGGGCCTGTCAGGGTGGGCCGGACAGCCCTATGGAAACATGGGAGAAAGACAAGCTGGTGCGTTAGACTGAGCAGAGGAGGAGGAGCAGGAGGAGGAGGAGGAAGAGGAGGAAGGGTGGGGTGTGTGACTTTGAAGGCCAGGTAATGCTACAGATCAATTAGAAAAAAGGAAGATGAAGAGGAGGAAAAGGTAAGAGAAGGATGATCCATCCTCTTGCAGCTGAACTTCCTCTGGTATTCAAACCTGTTATTTCGCAAGAGTGAAAACTACTTTGTTCTTACAGGGATTTTGTTCTGCAAAGTTTCCAGGTTGACGGGAGGGAACAGAAAAATGTGAGCAGTATTAAACAGAACAGAAATATTGACAAAAGTGCAGCAAACACATACAGAAGCAGCTGTTCAGGGCTTTGATGGAGAGAAGTGGAGCATTTTTAATCAAAGGGGAAATACTGCTCGGACACGTTTAATCATCGATGCCAATTAGCGTGATGGAAATAAACACCTAGTGTCTGTGCAAAAGAGCTTCACAGCTGAATTAACTGGGAAAGACACAACGGATAAAAATGATGAAACCCCAGTTTTCTTTCACTTGGACTGAACAAATATCTGTGGCTGGACCCTGAAACTGAAGCAGCTAAATGGAATCCAGCCGCAATTCATTTTCATTATTTAAACTGCTGCTTTTCCTACTGTGAGCGGTCAGGACGCCTGTCACAACTGGACTGTTATAGCTACAATATTAAACAGGGGCTTTGTATAAATATAGTTGAATTGGCCACTTCTGAACGACTGAACCCGAATGAAACTTTAGCACTTTAGCATCATTTAGCATCAGCGGTGCTCCAGTATTTCATTTGGCTTCAGTTGTTCAGAAGTGGCCCATTTGCATCCTGTCCTAATCTGAGAACACCGCCCTCCATTAGTGGAGAGGCTGAAGCACAAGAGACTCCTTTTTATTACCTTTGTATAAATATGTTTACATAATTGTTCACATCTCATTTCATTAATGTGATTAACGTATGAACTGTTAAGAGTTGTATTCCCCTCTGTCTCTGGATAATGAGCCCGCCCAGCTGCTGCTGTATCAATAACCAATTACACAACAAAGCAAAGCTAAATGGTGAGTACAGTAATAGGAATGCATCAAATGAAATAACAGCATAAAAAAGACACAACTCGCCAGGAAAAAAAAACAACAAAAAAAAAAACTGATTAGCAAATTAAAGCAGATGATGAATCTCTTTAACTGTTCTGTCGCACTCTTGTTGCACACATCCAACCCACAGCATGTGCACGGTGACAAACTTGTGCTCACACATTCACACACAAATGGACTCCACCAGCACAAACACACACACACACACAAACACACACACACATCCATACCTTCTGCCGCCTCTTCTCCTTGCGCTTGTCCTCGGTGGCCTGCAGCATCTTCTCCTTCCACAGGTTGAAGAAGTAAGACGGGTCGGTGTAGAACTTCAGCGCGTCCTTCTTGTCGTCCCTGGGCGGAGGAATGGAAAGATGGCGGGTGAATTCGGGGAAATAACAGACATTCAGATTGAGATAATGGAGCAGGATGTGCGAGGGTTTTAATCCCAGATGCAACAAAATGTCCATACTAATTTATTCAATCGCTAATGAACCCAGATAATTAGCTGGCTAATGTTTGTTGAACACCAGAGTTAATACAAAAATTATACTAATTTAATCACCACAGGGATTTTGTGTGTTGGGATCCCGACAACAGAGAATGAATTAGAATAAGATAAGTGACTGGTTTGTGATTGTTTATGAAGAAACAACATGCAGCCCAGTGAGAAGTGACCTCAGGCCTCTGTTCCTCTGGAACTTAGTGAGTTTTGTTATAAATGGTTTCTTTCATTGGCTCTTTCTGAACAGCTTTAACATCTGAGGGTTTCTGTTCATACTCTTGCTTAAATGGGTGATAAACCGCTAGTGGCGAAATGTGATCAAATCACACATTTAACCAACACAAAACAACAGTTCTTATCTTCTAATAACAATCCACACGGTTTAAAGTTAACGGAAGTACTTGGTGGTCTCGGCAGAAGATCAACACTAGTGTAGGGGATTTGAACGTAACTGAACACAATTTACAGAAACAGATTTTTCGAATTGTTTTTAATGAAGTGGAAAAACACCAGCAAACTTTTTTTTTTTTCATTGCAACGAACCCTAATGCTAAATGCTTTCGCTCCTCGGTCTGAGGAAGAACAGCGCCAAAAACCGATGATGCACAATGTTGTGTTCACTAATATGATACAGTTAGGCTAAATCACTGACCTATATGGGCTGAGGATGTTAAGTGGTGGAGGTTTATCGCAGCGATGGTACATCTCCACCACAGGGTTGGGGACAGAGGTCCGCGACACCACCTGCTGGTCCTGGATGGTGCTGCTCTTAAAGGCCTTCCTCATGTTGATGTCCTGCAGGGAGACTGGGAGCAGAGGAGGAAGAGATTTAGATGAGTGTTTACAGTCGCCTAAATGCGGTAAAATGGGCAGAATCAGTCACTGTGTATCCTCAGTGGTGTTTGACGACATAATCCCTAAAAAAAAAACAAAAAAAACAGCTGTTTTAACTCTTTAAGTGTCGGCTTAGCAGCTAAATCCTGAACGCACGGCAGCGTTCTCTGCCCTCTGGTCAGAATTAGCCAGAATAAAGCAGGGGAATATCTTTTATTAGTGCTGTTTGTTAGTAGACATGAAATCAGCCATGACACGGCTATTAAACTACAAAGACTGTGCCACCGAATTCAGCTTCAGTCATAATGAAATGGTCAAAGAAAGAGAATTAAATAAAAACAGCATTTCTGGGACAATTTGTAGGTGATTTCTGGAAGCTATAATTTGGATATTTCTATAATAACATTTGGACAAAGGATATTATGGCTGTAAGAGGAGAGTGTAATTTGATTTTCCAGAGCAAAAATACAAGAAGATGCATTTTCATCAGATTTCCTTTGTATTTACAGAAGAAGAAACAGTTCATCTGTCCCTGCTTTCTTTTTATTCTTCATCCTTCATTCGCCCGTGTTTCCAATGCAATAAAAGCTAGATAAATGATTAATTATGTCAACCAAAGACTTAATTTACCCATTCCCCCCCAAACACCGCTCTCCACAAATAAAACAGCATGTGTTGTTGCTGCTTACACAGAGGCTATTAAACACTTGCTTATGGCAGTTTCGAGCACTCACACACCCTCACAGTCACTCTGGTGTGTGTGGCTTTGACCCTGTGATTTATGGGTTTTATGGATTTTGTTGAAAGGCATTCTGGGAATGTGGGGAAACTGCCTGCAGAGGCTGAAGTACCGCAGATGAAATATCACGAGGCAAAGTTTGAAATTTAGACACAAAAAATGATTCCTGATTTAACACGGACAGTTTTGTATTAATTAATTTTCTTATAAAATATGAGACAGAAAATGAAGACATCATGTCATATTGATAACAGCATCTGCACTTGTGTACATACACAGTATAGATACTAGAGACAGCCTCCATACTGTGAACTCTCTGATACATATGCATACAAACACACACACACACACACACACACACACACATACAGTAGGTGATAATAGGACAGCAGGGACAGATTAGTCTTAGAGCTTGTTGCATCAGCTTAACAAACATCACACACACACACACACACACACACAAAGCTGTAGGGGAGGGGTGTGAGTGGGCTTACTGTATGTGTGGATGTAACAGAGCAATATAGAAGATGTGTCTGTGTGTGTGTGTGTGTGTGTGTGTGTGTGTATGTGTGTGTGTGTGTGTGTGCTGTTGGTACTCATAAAGTCTCTGTGTTATGCAGCGTGTAGGACTGTGTGATAATGTGATTTGTACACGTATAACAGGAACCTGTGTGTGTGTGTGTGTGTGTGTGTGTGTGTGTGTGTGTGGAGAAAGAAAGAGAGAGTGAGAGACAGAGGAAATACATGTATGTGTGTCAATCCCTTAACCCCAGAGGAGATTTAACACAGCTGCAATGCTATCCAGGATCTACCAGATGGCTACACACACACACACACACACACACACACACACACACACACACACACACAAAATCACGCATGCACACACACACACATCAGTCCAATATATAATAAGGTTAAACCGTGTCAGTGTGAGATATGTTCTGACCAGTGATTTGCTTGACCGCCTGTGTCATGTATGTGCCTGCATGTGTGTGTGTGTGTGTGTGTGTGTGTGTGTGTGTGCGCAAGTTATCAACAGCATCAACAAGGTCAAAAAGAAAGAGTGTTTTAGATTTAACGTCCGACTGCAAAGACTTATTCCTGAAACACTTAAGAGTGATTGACTATTTGATCTGCTTGCACACGCGTGTGTTTGTGTGTGTGTGTGTGTGTGTGTGTGTGTGTGTGTGTGTGCATGCATGTGCGTGCGTGCAGATTGTGCAGTCAGAGCACACTCCTGTCTGCTCGGTGTTTGATCATTCCCTCCTACGCTTCTGTCCCTGCGGCCAAATGAATAATCCACAAAACTAGCAGCTAATGCAACTTTCATTCAGACACATCTTCAAAGAGACCTCTCGCTCTCTCTCTCTCTCTCTCTCTCTCTCTCTCTCTCTCTCACACACACACACACACACACCCACCCCCTCTCTCTTTCTCTATCTCCTTGTGTTCTGCCTCTAATCTTTGTTACCCTCTGACTTTAACATCCATCTTCCTCTCTGCACATTTACATGCGTACAAATATGTTGACTACTGCTAATAACCAGATTAACGTCATCAACATAAACAGTCTAATTAAGGGACTTACATGGTTTACAGTGGCCTGACTCAACCAGTGACATGAGAGCAGCTTTCTACAGGAAGAACCTCATTAGTAAAACCCAAGTAAATGTGCGCGTATGAAACGAGTGACCGAGCTTGAAGAGCTCCTTCGTGCAGATTCAGTTCGACACGTAGAGCACGATGTTGCTCTGCGTCGTTATTTTCCCATGAACAAAGTGTGATAATGCGATTCTATTTCTCGCGAATCCCCAGCATGCAAAGCGAAACAGCGTGCAGTCTCTCCACATTCACATCAACTTGAGTCTTACTAGTTCACGTCCGTATGAGTTCCTGAACAGCAGCGAGCACAGACGACAGAGTTAAGCCTAATTATGGACTGAGCTTATTAAGACAGTTTGTGACTTTACACAGGACAGAATGGACACCAGTGATATTTTTTATTTTGCTGATTATTTCTGATTTATTTTCTGAAAAAATTCCTGATTATTTGTTGCTGTATGACAGAAACTCATGACTAGAAAATACATTAAAATCATTTTAAGATTGTAACTTTTGATACTCATGAATTGATTTACTCAACTACTTTCACATTTTGTAATTGTGATGTTAAATTTTTACAATTCTTTGAATATTTTAAAGCTTTTGTAACATAATGAGGACTATCGTTTAGAATAAAACATAAAATTATATTATGTTATATATTCAATCCTCCCTTACATTTCCTGTAACAGTTCCTTGCTTCCTTCCTCCCTACCTTCATTATTGTCCCCTTCTTCATTTCTAACCTCCTCTCTTTTTTCATCATTTCATTCTTTCTATCATGAAACATTCATGCTGTCGTTCATCCTGTCAGCTTGGAGAATACTGACGGAGGGAAACAAGGAGATGGCAGGAGTGAGGGATGAAAAGGTGGTGGAAAGAGGAGAAGTGAGGAGGAGTGAGGTGAGGAACAGATGAGTGACTGCGTGGTAGGAAAAGAAGGACAGACGAAAGGTTTGTGTGTGGGAGGAGGAGGAGGCATGGAGATAGACAGAGGAAGAGAGAGGAGATGAAAGAGTTTGAGCGGGGGAGGAGGAGGAGGAGGAGTGGGAGACAAAGAGAGGAGGGAGAGGAAGAGGAGGATGAGACGGAGGACTGCTGAGCTTTTGCTTTTCATCCTCGTCTGTGCTGCTCGGCGTGCTGCAGAATGACTAGGCAGTATCAGCCAGGAGGGAGGGAGGGAGGGAGGGAGGGAGGGAAAGGGAGGAGGGGAGAGAGGGAGAGAGAAAAGGAAACACTGGAGGAAGGGAGGACAGAAGAGGGTATGAAAGAAAGTGAGAGAGTTTGAAAGAGAGAAAGAGGGAGACAATGAGGAGGAAGCAATAGAGAAAGAAAGGAGGAGAGAGGATAAAGAGAATAGAGAAAAATAAAAAAAGAGGGAGAGGGAGGCGAGGAAGATAAAAAGACATGAAAGGGGGAGAGAGTGAAGGAATTAGAGAAAAGGAAAGGAAATAAAAGGAGGCAGAAAGAAAGACAGGAGGGAGGGAGAGAAGAAGATGGCATGAGAGAAGGGAATGAAAAGAAAGGAAGCAAGAGAGAGAGAGAGAGTAGGAATGGAGAGAATGGGGGACATAAGAGGAAGGAGGGAGAAAATGGAAGTGGAAAAAAAAAAAAGAGCGTGAGAAGAGTGGAGAAAAAGACGCAAAAGGGGTGAAAAAAGAGAGGAAATAAAAGAAAGCAAAATGAGAGAATTATGAGAGAGGGAGGAAAGTGGGAGGGGGAGAAGGAAGGAAGGAGAGATAGAGACATAAGGATGAAGCAGACAGAAATCAAACAAAGAGTGGAACAGGTTGTTGTGTGTGTACACACACACACACACACACACACAGCCCCTACCTTCCTCCACAGTGGAGTCGAGCTGGGTGACTTTCACAGCCAGCTGGTCCACTCTCTCCTGCAGGCTGCTCATCCTCAGGTAGAAGCTGTTGGCTTCATTGAACAGTTCTCCGAAGATGTCCTCTGCATGGCGACCTGCACGGCAACACACACACACACACACACACACACACACACACGGTTAGATCTGATATTGTCACTTGTTTTCCCATCAGTCTGGAGATCATTTCTCTTTCATCCCAAAATTCACACTTTCACATTCACCAGCTGAGCTCTGCTTCGCATCTCAGCATTTCATATTGGCTGCTGAGGAGAAGCAGCACGGCAAAGTCACACTGAAAGATGTTTCCCAGCCTGTTGCAATTCAATTGTGGCACTTTCAATTGGCCACAATTGAGAGACGCTGTGGTATCTACTTTATTTATATTTTTCAGACGTTAACCATTGACGATAATTGCCCTTTGCTGCATGTCATCCACAGTTATGGTCAGGTGTTGGTGCTGAAACCTGGAAAATTTTGAAAGACCAGAGGATCGATAAGCTCCGACATTAAATCTGATCTTAATTTCTTTTTTTCCTCTTATGAGTAGCAGATCGATAAAAGTAGTAGTACCGTTAAAATCTTAACCATACCCATCCCTCGTTATGGTGTCAGGTGTTTGTATTGTGTGTATCCTTGAGGCCTAACAAATATATATTGAGACATTTCCATCCTCAAAAGCCAACAATTATTTTCATTATCGATTAACCTGCTGATCACTTTCTTATCATTAAATCGTTCTGTTCGTGCTTTAGTGAAACCTGCCCATCACGACTCTCCAGACACCAAGATGACAGAGTGAGAAGCAAAATTCTCACATTGAAGAAGCTGACGGCAGCATCCTGTGTAGTAGCTGATTAAATGTATGTTGCTCAACTAATCAATTAATCAACTCGTCTTTCAAACTCTAAAGCCGATTTTTAAATATTGTTTTAAAATCCATGTTTGAATCAGCTTTAATTCTTCTTCCTCGTCCTTGCTGGCACGTTGCCATGGTTGCTGGCAGCACAAACTGTGAAGGTGCATGAAGCTGTTGGCACAGATGTGCACAGGATCACCACGTCCTTGTGCACGTACATGCGCATCCCTGTAGGTACCAAGATGTACGTGCATGAGATACAAACAAAATGTGGATCTGCTTATTAAATCATTGCTAAACTAAACAGCGTACCTTTAATTTAATTCTGATGAGGCATGAAACGTTGGTGTGGACGGGAACGGGAGAATAGTTACCTTCCTCACACGCCACAGCTTCCTGCCACATTCATGTTTGAATCTCAATAAGAAACCATTCTTACATTATTCAGACATCGACCGGCCTTCTGTTTGCAGAGGGAGGCAGGTCCAACAGCAGCCTTTTGTCCAGGATAATGACTTTTACTTGGAAGTAAAACTGCTCTCTTGGGCAGGTTAAACAGCAGGAATGTGGGTTTTATGTGGGCTGCACAAATTATTATGACTTCCACCATCCTCAGTGTGACACAGGCCAAATAAAAGTGTCTAAAAATAGCCCGACAAAACAGAGGAGATCTATGGACAGAAATTCATGGAGATGGAGGTCAGCCGATGTGCTTCCTCCTCCTCTTCCTCCCCCCTCTGTCTGTCTCAGCAGGACAGGCTTCCTCCTGCCGTGCACCTGTTGGACTGAATACTTAAGAGGTCCTTTCTAGCTGTGAGAGAGCATGTGTGTATTTGTGTGTGTGTGTGTGTGTGTGTGTGTAAGCACGACAGAGTTAGGAGGTACAAATATTTAAATTTATTTACAGATACAGAAATGCAGCCTCCCTCAATGACGCCGCCACCTCCAAACCGAATGAAACACACACTCATATACACAAACACCTGCTGCACACCCTCAATGCCTCTCTTTCTCTTTTCCTCTCTTCCCTTTCTCTTCCTCTCAGCCCACAACATGACAGATGGAGCAGAGGCAGAGCACTCACTCATTCGCACTGAGCTGTCGCTGAATTCAATTTAGCTGCTGACTGTTAATCAAATTTAAATAGCTTCTTTTTTTTTTTTTCTCCCCACATTCCCACTGAACGACCTCTTTCCTGGCGTAGCTTGATCTCTCCTCTGAAACACAGCGATCATCAGCTGGGATTATGTGCCTTCACACGTATGAATCGCCTGCACAGGTTTCCTATGAGATGTGTAGGGTGATAATATTCAAGCGTCGAAGGGAAGTTAAGGATGCATTGATCGTGATGGCTCTGGACCCTGCTAACTGCTAAATACTGACTCATAGCAGGTCAATTTTTACAGCTGAGTCACAGTGAGCACTTTTGCAACGTGTTCGTGTGTGTGCGTCCGTGTGTGTGCGTCCGTGCGTGTGTGTGTTATTGTATCAATAAAATTTCCCCTTGGATTCAACCTTTTCCACATTTTTTAACAGGCTCCATCCAACACCTTGTCAACTACACTTAATACTGATCAGCAACTGCTGATATCCATCTAATCAGCTTGTGCAGACATGGCCTAGTTCACACCGAACACTTCACACGTCTTGAGTGATGTGTCTGCAGGAACATAGCTCTGAATTCATTAGTTTTAGGTGTGACTGCACTTAAAATGCAAAAGGAAGACAGAATGAGATCTCATTGCTCACAGCAAATTGAGAGGTTGTCAGCCATGTATGCGAATGTGAGATCCATTGTGCTAATGTGCAGGACTTTCTTTTTTTCTTGGGGTTTCTGTCCAGGTAGCTACAACGATAATGTTCTCATGGCTCAGTGTAAATGTGTGTTTTTAGCCATGTTTGTTGGTGTGGCTCTCTAGGTAGCCATGTTTGTTTGTCAGAAGCAAATGTTGTGGTAAAAAGTGAAACAATATCCGCACACTGGAGTAGCAAATGTTACCATGCTAGTATGCTAAACTAAGGGAGGGAACACTGTAAACATTATCTGCTAATTATCAGAATGTTACATTGTCTTTGTGAGAACTTTAGCATGCACCCGTTAGCATTTAGCTCAAAGCCCCACTCTGCCTCACTGTCACTAGCATGGCTGCTTAGGGCTCTTAAGGTCTAGTCACAACAAAAAGTGAGACAAATAAATTATTCTGCAAAATAGTTAATACTCAAAACTTTGTGGTGTAGTGATTAGCTGCAGGATTAGTGGGTTAACTGCTGTAGCTAGCGAACTAACTGCTAACTCACTAGCTGGTCATGGTTCTGCTTGTCTGTCAGAGATTCTGGCATTTTGTCCAACCTCCCTTTTACAAATCCATTCATTATATGATTTTAAGAATTGCACTGTATGTGCTGTATACTCACTCAGACTGCCCAGTTGTTTGATGATGGCTGCCAGGGTGCTGTTGGTGACACACTCCAACTCACTGGTCACCCCATCTGGCAGCGCCCCACGGCACAGGTGCCTGGGCTCGATGTTTCTCTTCACCAACGGCATGCTGGTCTACGCCTGAGGAAGCGACAGAGAGGACAGAGAGATGATGGAACCCGTAGTGTTTTATGACATTACATCCGAACTATGTTCCGACTTCCCCAAAACTGTGTCTGAAGCGTCTCGACTGAATTCTGCTGCAGCTCATTATTTAAACTCCCTGCGGAAAATAAGTACATTAGCAACGTTACAGCTCCACACTGACAGATAAGAGAGAAAGCTGAGGTAAAAAAAAAAAAAAAGGGGCTGGTGTTCAGCTGCGAGTCTTGATGGAGATGACAGTGTCATGTCCGCCGTGGGGCGCAGTCGCTCATCACGCTGCTTAATGTCAATGCGGCTGCGATGAGCCAAGAGCCAAATGAGCCGGAAAGAGGTTTCTAAACGGTGCTAACGAGCCGCAACGGTAGCCAAAGAGACCACAAGGGACGGAGAGAGGGAGACGGAGAGAGAAAGAGAAAGAGAAAAGCGACAGAAGATGAGAGGATGAAAGAGAAGACAGATTAAAAGAAAGAAAGAATAAGGGGGTGAAAGAGTTATAAGCCAGTGTGAAACAAGAGAAAGACGGTGTCAGTGTATGAGAGAGAGCGGCTGTGCCACAGGGGAGGAGCTACATATAGATCCAGTCTGCCATATAATGTGAGGCCGGAGTTATTGAGCTGAGTGAAAGAAGTTCTCAGAAAAATGGAAACATAATGGATGTATAAAAAAAAGAACCGGCTTTCAAATGAGGCAGATGATGGCCTGGAGCTTAAACCTGCTTTAATGTTATTAACTATTAACTTTATTGTTTGATAAACATTCAGAAACAAAGCGGCAAACACAACAGAATGGCTGCTGACCACAATAATCCACCTGGTACCTAACTGTTTCTTATATACCATATATTATACATTGCATATTATAGGCTGCTTCGGAGGAAAGCATCTGCTCAAAGAATGAAAACCATTGGATTAATCTGCCCATCTCTGAGGTTACTGTGTGCAACTGTGGGGATGAATAGTAAAATTTTAAGGTTAAATAAAAGATATTTTTTAGCTTGAATTAAATTGTACAACTTCTGGGTTGGATTGTGCAATTTTTCAGTTTTTTTGTGAAATGTTTTTGTCACATTAAGATATTTCTGGGTTGCAGAACATACCTTATGGTTTGAAGTACACACTTTTTGGTTAAAGTGCACAATTTTTGTGTTTAGTGTGCATTTTTTTCGTTGACGTGCGCAACTTTGGGATTGGACTCTACAACTTTTGACCTGAATTGTGTAAGTTTTAACATATTTTTAGTCGAAGTGTTGTGAAACGTTTCATCTTCTTACACAGAAAACATTTCACAATATTTGGAGGGTTGTGGAAATTGTGTGACTTCTCTGAGTGGGAGGAAAACAGGAGCCTTAAAATACAGTAGAAGGAAGAAAATGATTTGGCAGATAGCGTAACAGAGTCTCTGTGCGGTGCTCATCAAATTACAGAACACAGAACAGCCAATCAAAGTAGATTCAGCAGTAACTGTACATTTATTTTGCCCTGATCTTTGCGTCACAAAGAGAAAGTGAGGAAGAGCAGTTGGATAAAAGTGAGCGAGAGGCGAACACGTGAGGGGAAGCTGCTCAGCTCCTCTCAGTTTGGAGTCAACTCTCTATGTGGGACACGCTTGTTATTTTTGGGCCGTGATTTTGTGTGTGTGAGTGAGTGTGTGCATGTGGCACGTGTGTCTGTCCCACAATTAAAAAGTGTGTGTGTCCTGAATATGTGCACGGGAAAGAGTGTGTGCATATGTGCATGTGGGAGGTGTGTGTGTGTGTGTGTGTGTGTGTGTGTGTGTGTGTGTGTGTGTTCCCAGGTCAGTGCTCTGGAAACGTACCATTCTCACACTCTCCCACGCTTCTAATATAATCATTGGCACAACTAATATTTCCGGGATGAAGAGTGAGGACTGAAGCCGAGACAAAGGAGGAGGTAAACAAAAACACAAGAACTCACTGCCAGAATGTGTGTGTGTGTGTGTGTGTGTGTGTGTGAACACTGAATCTTAATAATAAAAGAGATACTTATACCTGTGAGTCACATCGATCACACTTTTCAGACACAAAATACCTCTGTGTGTGTGTGTGTGTGTGTGTGTGTGTGTGTGTGTGTGTTCACGTGCTCCTTAATTTGTTTGTCCAGACTGAACCACACATGCCAACTTCAATAAAAAGTGACTCGTTTGTCCTCTTTACGTCTTTCTCACGCGCTCTCCTGCTCGTCCTCCCTCTAATAGCTTCTGACATCCAATTACACAAACCACCTCAGATTGTGCCGGCTTGTCTTAAGACTGATCGAGCTTCCCTGAGCATGTGTGTGCACGTGTGTGTGTGTGTGTGTGTGTGTGAGCCTTTATCGACCCCCCTCCTCCAGCTGTTGTAAATAATCTAACACCCTGGCTGTTTAATAATACATACATACTCCACCTCATCCTCCATCGCCGCCTCAATAGCTGCTCTTCATCTCTTATTTGTCTCATCTGTCTGACCCCTCCCTTCCCCACTCCTTTTTTTTCCCCCCACTTTCCTGTCAATATTCTCGCTCTAGACCGTCTCTCCATATCTGCCTGGTTTCATTAATAAATCAGTACGGGTGAATATCTCTTCCCAGTGTCCATCACCGAGTGGGTATTCCCCCATCTCCCCGTGATCTGAGAGTGTGTGCTCAGTGCGAGATAACAGCGGTGTGTGTGTGTGTGTGTGTGTGTGTGTGTGTGTGTGTGTGTGTGTGTGTGTGTGTGTGTGTGTGTGTGAGTGTGAGTGAGTGTGAGTGTGAGTGTGAGTGTGAGTGAGAGAGAGAGAGAGAAATGCTGTAGATATGTTGAGGCCACTTAGTCTGGGTTTGTGATGTAGGTTCACATGCATGAAATGATGCAGAGCCTCCCCTTTCTCTGACACACACACACTGCATTTTGACCCAAAGGCACTTAGTCTTTTCACACAAGCCCATTCAGGTCAGCTGCAGGGTAAAGTCACATCAGCCTAATGTGCTACACCACTCCCACTAGAGACAAAGGAATACAAAAAACATTCATTGCAAAAGCTCTGCTGCAATTTTCAGTCATTCTTTACACACAGACATCCTGCTCAGACAGTGATCCTGGATAGAGATGCTACATTATGCACAGAAAAGTCCATGAAATGCTCTTGATTTAATAATATGTGCTCTCGAATGACTAACTCATGCTCTTCATTTGCCATAATTTGTCACTTTCATGTCATTAGTCTGCATGTCCCCTCTATTCCCTCTCTCTCTCTCTGGATCTCTTGGGTCTAACATGGTTTTATCCTGGACTTGGGCTGAGCCATGTTTGGGTGTGGATACACCTGAGGTGTTGGCTGTTAAACAAAAACATTGTGTTATCTTTGTGATCCCTTAAACTGAGTTTATAGGTTAACAAACATAAAACTGTCGATGATTCTGCGGATGGCATTCAACTCATAAAAACTAAGCTTCAGTGTTCTGGAGTGTTTGTTCTCCAAATGAAGAGGGGAGGAAGCAAAATATATAACATGGAGGCTGAATTGTTAATTAATTTGACAGCGACAATGCATGTTAATGAGAATCAGTACAAAATGCCTGATGTAAACATGATGGATTGTAGCAAAAAAGCTAATTTACATTTGTATTCATGATGCCCCTTTTTTAATGCTATCTATAATAAATATAAAATCATTTTCACAATAAATAAAGTCAGTTAAATCTGCAACAGCAACATTTCAGACCTCTAAAGGAGAACGTGATGTGTTTCAGGGTGCTTTGGCTTGGATTACACTATTTAAGGCATTTGAAGACTTTTTGAGGACACTGAGGGAAGGAGAAAATTAACAAGATGACAAGAAGGAAGATGGAGTGGAGCAGAAAAAAAAAAAAGTGTGTCGTGGAGCCATGGGAACGTCGTCATAGCAACGTGCTGAGGAATCCGCTCCGCTGCTCAAAAGTGGAACTCGGCGCGACTCCGAAAATAGTATGAAAGAGACGGAGAGAAGAAGGGGACAGGGAGCGATGGGGAGAGAGAGACAGTAAAGAGTTACATAAAGGGAGGAGAGAGAGAGAGGATGGACAACCGTGTGAAAACGAAAAGCAGAAACTTTAAACTCTAAGTAGGTCTCCGGAGGATTTATTATACAGTCTGACACCTGCACTCATACAACACAGGAGGGTATAGGGCGCAGCACTGAAATAGCAATGCAGGAAGTTGTCTAACAGTAAAGGAAGTCAAACTCTGAGAGGCCACTTCAGATCAAACATTCATGACAAGATGAAATAGTTTGAGGACACTGCAGAGAAAAGTTGCAGCCGCATGAGAGACTAACAGTCAGAGACTGTTAGCCGCTGTATGCTAGCATCTCGAAAGATAAGGTGAGGGTTTCAGTCCTTTCTTAAAGGAATATCTAGACATTTGAGGAAAGGCACTTATTTATGCTTTTGCCCAGATTTAGATGGGAAGATCGACACCACTCCCATGTCTGCCCAGGAGATATGAAGCTACAGCCAGCAGCTGCTTAGCTTAGCTTAACTTAAAGACTGGAAACCGAGGGAAACAGCTAGCCTAGCTCCGTCCAAAGCTAATAAAATCAGACTAGCAGCTTTAAAGCTCACTAACTGGCTGTCATAACTTGTTTGTTTAATTCGCTTAAAAACATCCCTGTTGCCAGGAAATTCCTCCTTAAAAAAGGTTTTTACGAATTTCCTGAAGTTCCTTCGATAAAACAGGAAAATGGAAGCTCACTGCAGTTCTGTTGTTTTGTAGTTTGTGAAAATGTGTGGGTGAGGTTTATCATAATACAGGCCTATCTATAATGGTTTGTCAAACACAGTATATTAAAACATACTATAATATACAGTAAAATTAATTGAATTATCTTGTTTGTGCATGTTGCGATGTGCATTTTACTCTGATGACTTCCAGTGACTGAGCTGCAACTTTCTTACCACAAGGGCACTTTGACACCCACTGCAGGCAGGTTCCACCACGACAAGACTAATGTGCTCGTC